TCCCCAGTCTTGTGCTTTCTAGTTTTACTCTTCTAAACCTCCCAGACCAGGTTCCACAATATTGTCTATGGAGTACATCCCTGGCCTCTTCTTTCCTCCCGCTTGCTCTCTGTATTCAGAACACTGCCCCTTCTTTGCGCTTCCGTATGCCTACTATCCCCTGCTGTCCCTCGAGGCGAGAGGCTCATGGGCCATCAGCTCCCCCTGGTGCTGTACTGGAGGGGGCCTGCCCTCCAAATATAACCCACTCTCTGTCCCTCCCTGAGCACACTCTGCCTGTTACATTATTGGCATATTCTCTTCTTTCTCTGTGTTCAGGGATCCTCTTATTACCCCATAATCTGCCTGGCATATGAAAATGCCATTATCAGTTGGTGGTGGAAACTGTAAGAAAACATAGACTCATACCAGTGGGCAGAGAGGGCCCTGCAGTCAGACCATCTAAATCCTACCTCTGCCCCAAGAACTTGGGCAGGCACCTCATCTTTCTGCGTCTCCTTTTTGTCATCCACAAGACGGGCATCCTCATTCCCAGAGAGCAGTGTTTTGTGAGGATTAGTGGGACTGTGCTTGTTAAAGGCTTGTAGAACAGTGCCTGGCATGTAGTAAGTGCTCAATAAACGGCAGCTGTTATTTGTATTATTATCCACTTCATCTCGAGTGGATGTGTGAGTCAACTGGAAAGTTCTGGGCTGCATCCTGTCCAGACAGATGACCTATCTGTGTTCCCATGGAAGAGGTATAAGGTGTGAAGAAAGGAGTCTGGGTGTGGCTGTCTGGGCACATGGGCCTGACCACTCCATGGAGGCAGGTGGGACATGTTCATCCCCCTTTGCTTTTCTGTGGTCCTCTGGCCAGCATCCTTCCCAGCTTGTCCCATGGGAGCATAACCAAGCCCTGAGTCCACTGCTTTCCTTGTGTTTCTGTGCCCTGGGTCTCAGCTCTGAGTGCTCGGTGGATGTTCAAGCTAGAATGGGTCTCTGAGCTCCTGTGTGTTCTCAGTTAACAAGGATGGAGGAAAAATTATGCAAATCAGCTGCAGGTTCTGGCAGCCTTGTGGTCCAGGAGTAACTGCATTTGGTGTAGTGGCCGGAGGGCTCTTTGCAGGAGAAAGGAACACCTGGGCTCCCTTCTCAGAGAGCTGTGTGGCCAGGCTGTGTCTCCAAGATCAGGCTCCCTAACTCGTGGCTTCCGTTTCAGCTGCCTCCTGCCTCCTCTGGCCCCCATGCTCTGGTCTTCCCGACATTCTGGAGCCCTGGCTTCACCGAGCCAAGGCCCACGAGTCAGCGGTGAAAACAGAAGTCTGGAAGAACAAAGCTCTGAGCCAACGCAGGCACTAAACGTTATTAGCAGTAGCCTAAACAGGATTGGAACGGGAGCAAAAGAATCGGCAGGGCCTCCCTCTGGGAGCCAACTTTCCAGGCCTGGAAGCTTACTGAGATGGCTGTTGGCTCCCCAGGCTGTATCTCTGTTCCTTGTTGGTGAAGGCTGGGACGCTGGTCTCTGGCAAGTAGGAAGTCCCTGTAAGTCTCCGATTTCTTCTCCAGGGGAGATAAGTAAGTGAAAAGGACTGTCTACTAGGTAATGGGGTCAGATGATGTGTGTTACTGACATGCTGTGTGTCTTTGGGCAAGTCAGCTCTCCTCTGTGGTCCTCGTTGTCCATCTCTACAATGAGAGGATGGAACTAGATTCTGGCCTCTAAATGATCTCGGAGGACCTTCTCCCACTCTGTATTCCTGCCGGATAGGGCAGTTTTGGGTCGAGTACACACAGAATCCAGGTCTGAAATGGTCAGTTGCGTTTGTTGAGATGAATGAATGGGAAACAAATATGTTTGTCCCAGACTTTTCAGGACTGAAATTCTTAAGTTAGAAACTGAGGTGCTAGGAAGCTTAGTTGAAGAGATGATTCTGATCCCATCTCCCCTGTGAGTCTTCCTCCTCCCCACCTTTAGGGGTTACAAATATTTCCCCCAGATTTATCCTCTTATTCTCTACAGAGTAATCACCTAGCATAACCTCGGGGGAAAATTGACCGAGGAGGATGTTTGTGGTTCTCACACCTTCTCCTTTGCACCTGACCCCTCTGTATCAGCTTGGGGAGCATTCTAAGAAGAGTGAATGTGACAACACGGTGAGAGACTCAAGGAGTGAGGCTGGTGCTCAGAAAGGGCTGAGAAGAGACAGGGCAGAAGGAAACAGGAATGAAACTAGTTGGGTTGCAAGAATGCTAGAGAGCCAGGGGCAGTGTGTTCTGAGAGGACATGCTCAGGAAAGATGAGTTCCCTGGTCCTCTATGTTCAGGGACTGCTGACCGGTAGAAGGTGCAGTCACTTTATTGCAGAACTTCTCAGAGCCTTTGCTATGCAGTTGTGCTTTGGAACTGCCAAGACTGGGGACGTAGGATCTTCCCCAGTAGATCTAGCCACGGTTTCCGGGAGTATCCACTTTGTGGATGTGGGAAATTGTACTGAAGAATTATGACCCCAGAACCTGCCTAGGGTGACCTTGAGGAAGTGCTTGCCCTCCCTAAGCCTCAGTTTTTGTAAAGTCAGACAAAGCTGCCTATTATTGTTCATCAGGGCTGATGGGACTGCCATTTGCTTCAAGCAGGCAGGTCATGCCACAAGGGTCAGCCTCTGCCTTTCTCCCCAGACAACACCAGAGCCGCTTAGGCACTGACCTTTAGCTGTTGCTGGTGGTGAGCTGGAAGTGAGGCCAGTGGAGGCAGGGAGGACTGGCCAAGTGAAAAAGGTACTGTTACAGCAGTAGCAACAGATTGGAGAGGATGAGGAGGGAGCAAAGATTATCCAGGATCATCCCTGGATAAAGTCAGAGATGGGATGGGCCTGCTGGAGTTAAGGGTTTGGGAAGATATTTTTTTTAAGTCCAGAGTCCTGTGATACCAGGTAATATTCATTCCTTCTGCAAAAATACACTGGACGCTTACTACAGACTTGCCAGGTGCTGGGAATACAAGAGTGAACAAGACAGATGTGGTCCCTGCACTTCAGGGACTGGGGCTAGAAAGGGAAACAGAAAAATAGACAATGACCACACATGGGATGCCTGCTCTGGTGAGGTACGTGCAGCGGGCCATGGGAGGGAACACTCAAATTAGAATCTAATGCATCTGTGGGAACTGACCAGGCAAAAAAGTGGTGTCTAGAGTACTCAGGAACAGCATGTGCTAAGGCCCAGAGGCTGGATAAGTCTTTTGAGGGACCACCATCTGTGTGTGAGTGCTGCTTCAGCTAGTTTGCCTTATGCTGTGAATAACTCCCAATTGAACACGACTTAAACAATAAGGGGAGTTATTACCTCCCATATCAAGAGGTCCAAAGGAAAAACATTAATAAGGCTGGCCAATAACAACCTCTGTTTTCCATTCTGCTATCCTCACGTGCTCATGGGGCTTGTTACCTCATGTGCACAAAATGGCTGCAGCAGCAGTGAGGCCTTACTCAACAACATACAAAGGCTAGAAGAAAACATTCTCTCTGTCCCTCTGAAACGTTTTCCTAGGGGCCCTGACCGGCATCCCTCACATTTCATTGGCCACATCTGGGTCCAATATGCATGCCTTAACCAGTCACTGGCATGGCAAATTCCCAGGATGGGCTTAGACTTATCCAGAGTCATCCAGTATCCTCTGAAATCCTTATCTCCCTGAACAAGCAGGAAGGGAGGTGGCTGTGGGTAGGTAGCCGCCAGTGTCTTCCACAGTGTCCAGGTCAGGATTACCATTGATCCTAATTGCAACTAATCTGAAGTACTTGCCATTAAATCAGAGGGTGTGATCTTGTTGTCTAAGGCTCCCAGGATGCTGGGAAGAACCCTGGGCTCCAGACCTTCACTCTGGCAGATGGGTTTCCTGGATCACGTGATTCCCCAGAAGCACACCATCCTAGCCTTCCTCCTGGAAATGGATCCTGGGCCCCCACTGCCCATCAGGGCTCTTTCTGCCTGCATCCTGGCTGGCCATCTCTGGCCATGTGCCGCCCTCCTCTTTTCCTGCTTGGGGATCAGATGCCCCGGGTGGCTTCGGGTGTCACCAGTGGCTGCTCCCACAGGAAGGTGAAATTGGATCACTGCCTCTGCCCATCTTGGCAGGAGCCCCTGAGCAGAGCATTAACCCTTCAGGCCCCAGAGTGCAGGGGCAGCAGGGTCCGTCTAAGGAGCACTTCTGTGGCTGGCAGCAGGCCGAGCCCTTGACATGCATGAGCTCATTTAATCCTCACGCCTGGCTTGCAAGATAGGGAGTGTCAGCTGAGTTGCAGAGTAGGAGACAGGCCCAGGGGGGCTGAGGGGCTCATCCAGGGTCACACAGCTTGTAAGCAGTGGGGCCAGGTATACACCTGGGTCGGCCTGACTCCCCCGTCATCTCCTCTCCTCTCCGCTCTCCTCCGTTCTCCATCGGCGTGAAGCCAGCGGGCAGCTTCCTTAGCACGCGCTGGTCCTGGCTAAGGGATCTTCTCCCATTCCCTGCTGTCAGTCTGGAGACTGAATTCTCATCTTTCCTGCCCTTTGAAGACACCTGTCATCTAAGCAGACCCTTCTGGGGTTCCTGCTGACCTTTCAGCCCTGGCTCTGCTGCCCTGTGGGCCTCAAAATCTTGAGGCCATAGCACAGATAGAGAGACTGAGGCTCAGAGACAGAGAGGGGCAGGGGCTGGTCCCTTGTCGCCTAATGAGTTGGGAGCAGATATAGCTGGACCCTATGTCTCCTGACGTCCAGGGCAGGGCTTCCAGCCAATGAGTTCCTGCCTGGTGACCTTGGTTTATTGATCTGTAAAAAGTGAGGTTGTATTTGTACTGTGTAAGCGGGTCCTGCCCCGGGAAGCTGTGCCTGGGCACCCAGGAGCCTGGGCTGGTCTGCTGGGATCCTAGAGCCTCTGCCTCGCCTCCCGCCTCCCCTGGGCAAGACTAGGGTGGTACTGGGGCCAGGTGAGTGACTCCCAGCTCCCCACGCGGATCCGGCCGTGAGGGGTGGAAGCTGATGCCGGATCTGCTTGTGTCTCCTGGTCTCTAGGGGCTTTCTCCTCACCTGGATCTTAGTCTCGCTTGCCTGTCACCTGGCCTCCACCCAAGGATCTCCTGAAGGTAATTCTCTCTTCTCTTTGTCCAGGGGGAGACAAAGGAGGATGGAAGGGATCTACAAACGCAGGGGTAGGAGACATTAATGCCCCTAGTTGGAACTCAGTGCCTCAGTTTTCTCATCAGTAGAATGGAGCCAATCATTGACAAATTCTCTCCAGGCTTGAAAGAGCCCCCTTTGATGTTTTGTAAGGGGTAGGAAGGGCTCAGTGCAGAAATGTGGAAAGGTGGTGCCTTTGTTCCTATCCAGGGTGGAATTTGAGTAAGTTACTTTGGGGACAGTAAGCCTCAGTTGTACCTTTTTGTCCAAGGGGTACTCCAAGAAGTTCTGAGAAGAGGCAGGAAGGCTTCAACCATCACTGCCCACACCTGTGATCTGCCCTCCCCTTCCCGTGAGATGCTGCCTTTTCCTGCTACCCCTGAGGAGCTGTCCAGGAGGCGAGGTGGTGGGGGGCTGGCTACACAGCTGCCTGTGGAAACTGAAACCTCCCCCACATCTGTTTGTCAAACAGCCGCATCGCCTCTTAAAATAGCGGCCTTTCCCCTTCCTCCACCCCTGGCCCGCGTGCCAGGGCAGGCAGCCGGGCACTCCCAGAGCCCCTGTGGCCTGACCTGGCCGCCAGGCGGGGATTGGACCCCTGGGAGGGGAGGGCCGTGCCCGGAAGAGACTCCTGCTGCCCAGCAACATTTTGTGCAAATGTCATATTTTCCAGGCTTGCTGTTTCCCCCACAAAGTAGGTGAACAGCTGTCCAGAGTCCTGAGTCAGGCACTGGGCGGGCGGGGGGGGGGGGGTGGTGGGGAAAAAGATGGAGCAGTGTGGAGCCAGGTTTATGTAATAAAGGGATCTTGCTGCGGCCAGCTGGCTGGGTCCCTCCATCTTGGCGTTGGGCTGAATTCATTCCCCTGTCCCCTAGCTCCTCTCCCCTGATGGGGTTCTGGATGTGTCTCCGCCCTGCCTTCCAACTAGTATAGGGGCTCCAGCACAGGATAGCAGAGCAGCTAAGGAAGGACAGAGGTCCCGGGGCCAGGCACCTTGGTTCCAAAGCCCAGCTGCGCCTTTGACTACAGGCTGCGTGGCCTTGGGCAAGTTACTGCAGCTCAGTTTTCTGACCCTCGTCTGTAAAGTGGGGAGAATAAACAGTACCTGCTTCAGAGATGACTGAGAGAATAAGGAGAGACAATGCACGTAAAGCACTTGGTACATAGTAAGTGCTCAATAAATATTAGTTATTACCATTATTGTTCATTATATTATTTGCCTGCAAAGTTTGGGCGAGAATGGCCTTCCTTATCCCCCGTGGAGCCCACAGTGGTCAGAGGCTCCCGGAGGCTCAGCAAGGACCACCTCTGCCAGCTCTAAGTAGCGGAGTTGGAGTTTGGCCCCTGAACTGCAGGGGGTGTGCAGGGGAGGCCTGGGGAGTGCCTGGTGTCAGCTTAAAACCCACCAGGACAGTGGCGATCAGGGAAACCTCACTGGTGCCCCCTGGCCTGGCTGGTTGTTATCTTCCCCGGGCGAGTGCAAGTGGCTGTAAGTTGCAGTGTGCAGGGAGAGACGTGTGCAGGCCTGGGAGCCTCCCAGGGGCTGCCGAGGTGGGACAGGAGGAGGGGAGAGGTGACGTCCTGCCATTACTTCTCCAACAAATGGCTCCTCCCTTTTAAGTTGTTTGTAGTGAGAAGTATTTTATGATAAGAAGAGGCTTTCAGGGATTAAACGTATAAAATACGCTGCTACTCAGAGAATCCTTAAACAGTGGTCTGTTTTACCTTAGGAACTGGGGACAGATAGAGGTGGGAGAAGGGAGGAATTTGAAGTGAGATGAAGGCTCTTGGGTTCCAGGGAGGACTAAGAGTCTTCAAGCCACCCTGGAACAGTGGCCTGCAGCCGCAGAGTTCTTAGAACATTCTTAGCACTTTGTGGCCACCTCCAGGTCTGGTTTCCCTTGTCTTACAGGCAGGGAAACTGAGGCCTGGGGTCAGGAAGAGACTTGGCCAGAGGTACCTGATGCAGGGGTGGGTGAGGGTGGTAAGGGAGACCACCATTCCATCTCCCACTGCCCCCCGGATGTAGGTACTCTTCACAGCCCTGTTTTACGATGGAGGGAACCAGACCCACAGGTGGCCTTGTCCTACTCTGAAGTCTGGCCTTCAAACCCAAGATCCTGCTATGGAACCAGTGTGCTACCACGTTGCCAGCACCCGGGTTCTCAGTGTCTTCCAGCCTGTTTATCCATCCATACACCGGTCCATCTATCTCCCAGTTGTCACCAGAGGGCTACTGGGTGCTGGCTGCGTTCAGCCCAGGGCACACCTCTCGCTCCAGGTGATGAGGGAGAGTGCATTCCACACTCAGGGGTTGGGAGGCTGAGCTCGGGAGAGGGGCCTGAGGACATTTCCCAGACCCCAGTTCTCGAGGCAGCCTCTCCTTTCCTGCCAGGATGGAGCTCCAAGGCGGGCTTCTGCCGACGCTGGCAGCTCAGCCGCCTGAAGGAGGTCGAGTGCCCCGGTGAGAGGCAAGGTCAGGAAGCCTTTCCATAAACACCCTGGAAGCCCTCGATGTGCTCTGGCAGGCCCCATGAATGTAATTGCCAGGTGGATGTGACCTGGCTGGGCCATGGTCAGATGTCCAAATGCTTCGCCAGAGGACAGAGGTTGAAGGGATGCCTTGATTACTTCCTCTGCTCTCTCCAAAGCCACACAGGGAGGAGGGGAGTCACTGGAAATGTCCCCTACCTTCTGTGCAGACAGCAGCTCCCCCAGCCTGCTCCAGCCTGAGAGAGACTTTGGGGGTGGGAAGGGGACTGGGTGGGTTCCTAAAGATGATGAAACCAGTCGAACCCCCTGGGCATCCTTACCATGCTCCGGTGACATGAACATTCCTGTCACTCCATCACTTATGGGACTACTTCCTGGAGGAGATGGCTCTCGAGGCAGAGAGAAGGGGAAACAAGCCATGTTGGGCAGCCTCTAATATTGGCTCTAGTATTTGGAGATTATCATTATTTTTAGTATTAAAGGCTATTCTTCATAAATGCTTATTTTGTGCCAGGCACTTGTTTTTTTTTTCGACTGCGTTAGCTCATTTAATCCTCACAACACCCCTGAGCTTGGTACTGCTGTTATCCCATTTAAGAGATGGGAAAACCGAGGCACTGAAGTCACAGGACTAGTAAGTGGTGGAGCTGGAAGTTTGGCTCTAGAGTCTGCTTTTAAACACTGCAGACGGTCCCCAACCTACGATGGCTCGACTTACAATGTTTTGACTTTACAATGGTGCAAAAGTGAAACTGTACTTTGAGTTCTGAATTTTGATTTTTTTTCCCCTGAGCTAGCGGTATGCGGTACGGTACTCTCTTGTGATGCTGGGTTGCGGCAGTGGGAGCTCCCAGTCACCTACGTGATCACGAGGGGAAACAACCGATACACTTACAGCTCTTCTGTACCCGTACATCCATTCTGTTTTTCACTTTTAGTACAGCATTCAATAAATTGCATGAGATACTCAGCACTTTATTATAAAATAGGCTTTGTGTCAGATTGTTTAGCCCCACCGTAAGGTGCTGTTAGTGTTCTGAGCGTGTTTGAGGTAGGCTAGGCTAAGCCGTGATGTTCGGTAGGTAAGGTGTATTAAATGCATTTTTGACTTATGAGGTTTTCAGCTTATGTTGGCTTCATCTAGATATATCCATTTTAAGTGGAGGAAGGTCTGTAGTCACAAGATCACACAGCCAGACGAGGGATTTGTTCCAACTCTGCACCCTCAGCTGCAACCATGGGGCACAGGTAGCAGTGGGCAGACTGTCCCCGAGTCAGAAGCAGTAGGAAGCAGGCCCTGACCGTGTCCTCTCCCCCTCTGCCCTCCCTCTCCAGATGTGGACGTCCTGCAGCGGCTGGGCCTCAGCTGGACGAAGGCGGCGGGCGGCCGGAGCCCCCCGCCCCCGGGGGTCATTCCGTTCCAGTCGGGTTTCATCTTTACGCAGCGGGCCCGGCTCCAGGCCCCCACGGCCGCCGTCATCCCTGCCGCCCTGGGCACAGAGCTGGCGCTGGTGCTGAGCCTCTGCTCCCACCGGGTGAACCATGCCTTCCTCTTCGCCGTCCGCAGCCGGAAGCGCAAGCTGCAGCTGGGCCTGCAGTTCCTTCCCGGCAAGACAGTGGTCCACCTGGGGCCCCGGCGCTCCGTGGCCTTCGACCTCGACGTGCACGACGGGCGCTGGCACCACCTGGCCCTGGAGCTCCGTGGCCGCACGGTCACCCTGGTGACGGCCTGCGGGCAGCACCGGGTGCCCGTCCCGCTGTCTTTCCACAGGGACCCAGCGCTCGACCCCCAGGGCTTGTTCCTTTTTTGGGAAGATGAGCCCACACGCAGTCCAGTTTGAGGGTGCCCTGTGCCAGTTCAGTATCTACCCTGTGACGCAGGTCGCTCACAATTACTGCACCCACCTGCGAAAGCAGTGTGGACAGGCTGACACGTACCGGCCCCAGCTGGGACCCTTCCTCCCCCGAGACTCTGGCACGCCCCTCACCTTCCAGACCGACCTGGCCCTGCTAGGCCTAGGGAACCTGACCACTGCCACGCCAGCCCTGGGGGCATGGCCAGCAAGCAGGGGGTCCAGGGTGACTGTGGTGCCTGCCTCTCCCCCCAAGCCCCTAAAGACTAGCGTCACAGGCCCTCACCAGCCCGTCACAGTGGGAGGCCCAGCCCGGAACCCCCTGCCATCTGCCAAGCTGTCAGCCAGTGAAGGGCTTCCTTCCGTGCCCGCAGCCTCTCCCACCAGCTCCACCAGACTCGTCCAGCCATTGCAGAAGAGCCTAGCCACCAAAATCCCCCAAAGTCACCCAACCAAGCCTTCAGTCCTTTCTCCTTCAGTTGCCCCTGTCAAAAGCCCACGCCCCACCCAGAAGACAGCTCCACCTTTCTTCACAAAGCCAGCCCTACCCACCAAGAAGCCGGTGCAACCCACTTTCCACCTAGTTCCCCCCAAAGTCTCCCATCCCACAGTGAAGCCGATGCAGAGGAACCCCATAACGCCCAGGCCCCCTCCGCCCAGCGTCCGGCCGCTACCTCTTGCCGCTGGCTCCTCTAAAAAGCTCTCTCCCACAGTGGTCCAGGCCAAGATGAGCAGTCGTGCCAGTGAGCCATCCCCTGCCCACACCAGCACACAAAGACCTCCCCATCCCACTGTCTTGCCCCCATCACCTGTCCCCAGTCCTGGCTCTACCAGGGCTGCTCAGCCACCAGCCACTGCTATGCCTCCCACCCTCGCTCCTGGTTCAGCCCTCACTGGAAGCAAAAAACTCACTGGATCAGAAGCTGCAAAGAAAACCAGACCCAAGAGCAGCCCCCGGAAGCCCGTCCCTCTCAGACCTGGGAAGGCAGTAAGAGATGTCCCACTGAACGATCCGACAACTGGGTCCAGCCCCAGACAGCCCCAGCCCAGCCGGCAGACCACCCCGGCCCCAGCGTTGGCCCCGACATTGGCCCCAGCGCGATTCCTGACCTCCAGCCCCCGGCCTGCGAGCACTGGCTATTCATTCTTCCACCTGGTGGGACCCACACCTTTCCCGCTGCTGATGGGACCTCCAGGACCCAAGGGAGACTGTGGTTTGCCGGTAAGACTGGGCAGAGTGTGCATGTTGCTTGGAGCTTAAGTAGGTGACAGGGCAGTTAGGTGTTTGCTCCTGGTAAGGGCGGAAGGAGGAAGAGAAGCAACCTAGAGCAGGGAGCTAGGTACAGGCAGAGCCTCCACTTGAACCCAGGTCCCCCTCTCCTCCACCTCTGCTGTGTTTCTGATTGCATATCCTGCCCCAAATTCGTGATTCCCTGGGGCAGACTTGGGTCTGGTGGCCACCCCCCGGTGAGAGCACTCCTGGGCTTTGGTTGGCCCAGGCCCCAGGTCACTCTTTGCTAACCTAACAGTAAAGGTTGAGTGGCTTAAGGAAAACCACAGACTAACTGGCCCCAGGTCATGCAGTCTCCAAAGGCCAGCTCTCCTGACTCCTGGAACAGAGTTCCTCCAGCCCACCAGCTTGTCTGTGAGTTTCGGACAAAGGTCGCACATGGATAGTCCTGAATGTGTTTTGTTTGGCACATGCAGCATTGTTTTAAAATATTTAATAAGTTACTAATATTTTTTAAATGTGAGAGATTTCTTATAAAAAACCGGTGACCTGCTTTTCTTGGAAGGGGGAGACATGCAGTGGCCTGTGGGCTTTGGCCGGGTCAGGGCTGCTTCTTTAGACAGGACAGGCCCGCTTCTGTCTGTGCCTGTCCACACGTCCGTCTCCCGATTGGTCTTCAGTCCAGTCCTTTCATCTTGTTTCTGTTACCTGCCTGGCTCCTGGAGGTATTTGATTTGTGGCCCCTGGTAGAGGAGTTTGAGGTGAGGAAGGTGAGGGTGGATCTGAGCAGTCAAGGAAGAGAGAAAGAACATTCCACGTGCAGGAGTCGGTCTCGGGGTCGATGCCTCTGGCATGCCTGGGACTGTCTCCAGGGGCAACGACCTTTCTGCAGCTGGAGGCCAATTCCTCCGGGTGGGGAACGATGAGATGGAGTTTCCAGAAAGCTGAGCCTCTGCTCCATTCTTCTGCCTTGGAGATGACCACTGTGCGGGTTCCTCCTTCCTGGGGTGGGATCTCCCACCAGGCTCCCCACAATGTGGAGACAGTGGCAGATGCTGGGAATTCCCAGGCCTTACAAACACACTTAATGAGTTTTAATAATCATTAGGAATAATATTTATTCAGCCTGTCTCCAAGGGGATCGAGAGCCCGTTTTTATTATAACCATATTGTAGAACTTATGGAAATTGTATGCATTGCTTTGCAATTATGTCAACATTCTGCTCAAGCTCCATGTTCTGAAATTGGCAGGGTAGGGAGTGGGGAGCCAAGGAGAGCAGGAGAGACTCTTCAGCCCTCCAGGCTGCCCAGCCCTACTCAGGCATCAGGTACCTTTGGCCTGTGACACCTCAGCTTCCCAAGATGCGTGGATGCTGGGCTCACTGGCCGGAAGGTCTAAAGGGGGTGAATTGTCCCCCTCGGGCAGGGTGGTGGAATTTAGGGTCTCCACCCTGCCGAGTGAATGAGGCCAACCCTGTCCCCCAAGGCTGTGTGCTATGTGGAGAGAGAGGGAGGCTGTGCTAGGCCAGCAGAGCTGGAGCAGGAGCAGGTTTTCAGGCTGTAGAATCTGCCTCTGGGCCTGTCCGATGCCTGAGCTTTGTACTTTCTTCCTGGGGTTTGGTGATGTGGGTCAGTAGGAGGTGAGGCCTCCTGCCAGATCTGGTCTTGGATTTACCCCCACTCTAAGAAGGTGCTGGAGTTGACCTGTTCAGTGGATGGATGCTTAGGGATCATTCAGTTCAACCCTCATCACTGGGCAGGTGAGGAGCCTGGAGACTGTGCCCAGAAAGGGCCAGGACTTGCTCAGAGGCCACACAGCACATAGGAGGCAGAGCTGAAGTTTACACCCCAGTTCCCGACTCCAAGATCAGCACATTCCATCCCACCCCCGTGAGTGTCCACTCTGAGACCCTAGGACTCAGGCCTGAGAGGCTGGGGGTTTCAGAGATGTGGGAGGCCCTGTCCTTGATCTCAAATGGAGAGCTCAGTGTCTAAAGAATCTTCTGTTTCTATACCTGTCACGTTTATGAGCTACTTCCACATGCATGTCACCTCCCTTTAGGACCTCGTGCAAACTGGTCCAGGAGGGTAGGATATGTGTGCTAACCCCGGCTTTACAAATGAGAGGCCTGCGGTTGGACCGACAGACTTGGCCAAGGGCATCCAGCATGTTCTCCCAGGAGGAGCTGGGCTGTGACTGCAGGTCCCTGACTTCAGCAAGGACCACAGTTCTTCCTGCTCCTCCTGGCCTGAACAAATGAGGGCAAGGGGAAAGACACTTATCTGCCCAATTGCCGTCCTGCCTCTTGTCCCACGCTATCCCATAATCCCACCCTCTCCCCAGCTCAGAACCCAGTCTCACTCCAATAAGAATCAAGAAGCTTCTCGAAGCTTTGTCCAGTCTGTGGCAGGTGGCAAACTGGTCATTTAGATTTGACCAGATACTGGGAATTATTAATTGAAGTGGCATCTTTGAGCAGCAATGACAAGAGCTCAAGTCCCTTCTATTCTGTTATCCCCTTCCCGAACCCTTGTATGCTTTCAGGAGCTAATCTGAACAGAGCAGAAATCTGTGCTGCCCGGGGCACGGAGCTTAGTTGTCCCCAGTCTGGGTTTGAATCCTGGCTCCACTCCTTACTAGCTCTGTGGCCCTGACCCACTCTAAGCCTCAGTTTCTGCAGAATATAAGATAATAATAGCTCCCACCTCCTGTGAGGAAGCCAGTTGAGTGATCTCCAAGGCCACCTGGAGTTCTAGATTTGCTGGGTGATTTGGAGGACTTAAAATCTCTCCCTGGGGCGGTCTCCCCTCTGTGACCCGGCGTTGGAAGAGCTCCCTTGGTAGAAATGACTGTGGGACCTTTCAGCGCCTGAGAGGGTTTTCAAGGCTATGCCTAACCGGTTCTGCATGGTTCTTGAGGGGCACGAGACAGCCTGGCGGAGGCAGAGCTCTGGGCGCAGGCCTGCCAGGAGTTGTAGCCACTGAGCGAGGGAACTCTGTGGGAGCCCCGGGAGCGGGGGGAGCATGGAAAAGCTGAGCTTGGCCCTGGGTGAGTAGGGGCGGGGAGGCTGCGGTTCACAGAGGCTGCACAGAAGCTGCACAGAAGCCCCACGCCCAGGAGGAGGCGAGTCAAGGCCTTATTTATTCATGATCAGGCGCTGGCATTTGCACACCCTTGCACTTTTTCCAAGCGTCACCTCTGGGAGACCCGGCTGAGCGCCTGGCCTGTAGCAGATGCTCCATGACTATCTGTGAGATGAATGAAGGAATATGATCCTTACAAAAAACAGGTTGTCCTGACACCCAGGACAGGCTTTTTGAGGTTACACAGATCTCTGCTGCTGGTGGGGTAAGGAGGCACGTGGAGTACAAAAGCACAGACTTTGAATTTGGAATCACCTGGGTTTGAACCATTCCCTTATCCAGCGATCCTTTCATTCTTTCAACAAATGTTGAATGAGTGCCTTCTAGGTGCTAGGTGCTGTGTGACCTTTGGCAAGTCACTTAACCTCTCTGAGCCTCAGTTTTCATCTCTGTAAAGTGAGGGTATGGCACCACCTACCTTTCCAGGGTTGTGTGGGCTGTCTGAGATGAGGCATTAGAATCTGGGTCCCAGTGGATTGTTGTCACTGAGTATTGATATACCGATGGTTGGAGTGGGGGCATTGTTACCCTAACAAAACCAGGAGGGCCTTCATGCTGTTGGCAATTAGGAGTCAGGGAGATTTTGAGAAATTTATCCCATACACTGGTATCATCAGGAACCCAGGAGAATGGAGGGGTGTCTTTGGCATATCGGTTTTGAGCTCCTATTGTGTGCCATGCTCTGTGCTATCCTGTGGCTCCAGGCAGGAACAGGGTACTTGAGGGGAGTTTCAGAAAGGGACCATTTACAGAGGTGTGGGTATCCTCAAATGAATCAACAGGGGCTGGTAAAGCACAGGGGGTACAACCTGAAGGTACAAGGGGAGGGGAAGGTGTTGCCAGAACCCAGTGAGTGTTAAAACATGAACAGAGGTCTCTGATGGGAGCTGAGGCCAAACTATAGCACAGCAAGGAGGGAGCAGGGAGAGAAATACTCCACGCATCCTCTCCTTCTACTCTGCAGTTTCTTGCTGGGGTCTCCCATTGACCAAACTCAGCTGCAAGCAGAGAGCAAGGAAGCCTGGGGGTGCAGCCTGTAGAGATCAGCTCCCCAGGGCAGAGAATGGATCTGGGGAGCAAATGGACAATAACCAGCACACATACACATTATCTTGGAAGATGGGCATTCCCATTTTACAGCTGGGCAAACTGAGGCCCGAAGGCACAGGGAGATGAAATGATTTGTTCAAGGCCTCACTGAGAAGCCCTGTCCCAGTAGGCCCCTGTCTAGGACAGAGACTGGGGGAAGCTCAGCACTCTGTGGGCTAATCTTGGGAATAATGGTGAGCAGAGATGGGAGGGCCTTTTGAGGTCCCCTGCCTCCCCCTGCTCAGGGTCACCCGGCTGTTAGCAGCACACTTGGGACTGGACTCAGGTCTCCCAGATCCCAGGCCTGCAAAACCTCTCCTTGCTTGCTGCCAGGGATCGTGCCAGCCAGGACTTACTTCCTTCTACAAGGCTTGGCTGGCAGACTGTTGCAGCTGGACACAAGGGTAGACTTGTTCTGTGGGATGGGGTTCCCCTAGGCCTGGCTGTCGGAGGCCAGGACCCTTGGGGGAAGCCCAGAGTGGCTGCTTGGTTGTTTCCACGGCTCTGCTTGCCTGAGCCCCGAGCCCAGGCCTCGTCCACCTCCCCCAGACAGGCCTGCGGCCCCTGCTTTCCTCCCCCTCATCTCCCGGCCCTCTCAGAGGCCCCGTTGTTTGCAGCGTGGAGTGGAAAAATCCCACCCCGGCCTCGTGAATCATCCCGGAGTCACCCGCTCAGGCTGCAGGCCCTGGAAAGAAATGGCAGCATTTTTCCATTGCATGGAGAACAGGCAGGGTCTCAGATCAGGAGAGAGGGGCAGGGGGCGCCCAGCCCCACTGAGTGTGGGAAGGTCAGACCAGGGGCAGCGGCTGGGCTGCCGGGCAGGCCCAGCTGGCGAGGGTGGTAGAGGAGGGACGGCGTTGGGCCCGCAGACGGGGGCTGGGCTGCCATGTCAAGGAGTCCGGCTATGGACTGACATCACCGGGCCGGGCCACAGGTCCTGACTGGCACTTAGAGTCTGCTCTGCAGATGTCTAGGATGAGGTCAGACTCCAGGCTGGATGCCCCCGTTTCTGGGGCAGGAGAGGTGCCAAGAGGTGTGTCCAGGCCTCTGCAGCGGCAGCCCTCCCAGGGTCCAGGAGGGAGCTACACCCCACAGAGATTGTCCCTCCCTGGAGTCCTCCTGGGCCTTAGCCCTCTACTCTGGGAGATGGGTGTGATCTCACCTTTCCCTTCCCACCGGATAACGTGGAAGAGGAAATCACCGCCACCCAGAAATTCAGGAAATGCCAGTGTCGGGAAGGCTCTGGGATGCTCATTTCACAGATGCCCACACAGGGGAGAGGGCTTTCTCAAGGTTACACACCTAGTCAGAACACACCTGGCCAACATGGCCTGTGTGGAAGCTGCCCAGGATAGGAGAACTAATCAAATGGTCCTGGGTTGAAGCCAGGCTCTGCCTGTTAGCTGTGTGGCCTTGAGCAAATCACTTTGCCTCTCTGAGCGGCTCTGTGGTTTCTCATCTGAAAAGGGCTCAGTCATGATAACAATATATGGTAATGCTTGGCCTTAGCGCACCCCCCTCCCCCATTTCCCTTTGATTCTAGGTCACCTGGAAAAACAGGGGCAAGGAGGGACTTCTAGGAAAGGAAATCTTTTGCTTTCCCCCAAAACAGATGCTGAGGAATGTGGCTTAAAATTTTGAGTTGGGGAGATTTCAGCAGCTTGCTTAACAGAAACGTCACTAACTCTCTGGGTGTGAACTGTGCCAGGCACCAGGATTAGCACTTTTTATAGATTATCTGTCAGTTAGGTGCCATTACAGCCTCATTTCACATGAACCTTGGAGACTGCAGGTAGCTTGCCCAAAGCCACACAGCCCGCAAGGAGGGGTGCCCAGTGTGAACCCAGGCCCCTGCCTTGTACTGTCCTCTACTGCTCCCCAGGAGGGAGTGGGGCGTAGACTGGCCCTGAATCTCAGGCCTGCAGAAGTACATACAAGACTAGAAACTGTCCACCCAGCCCCTGGGCTCTGGAAGGAAGGAACGTTGTTTGCTGCCAATTTGGCCAGAGGTAGCCGGAGGCTCAGAGGTGGCCAGGACTTGCCTGAGGTCACGCAGTAGCTCCCCTCCCTCCACCCGGGGCTCTTTTCGGTGACCCTGGGGCCTTGGTACCCATATCTGCCTGTCTGGATCTCTCTTCAGATTTTTATTCATGGACGAGCAAGCACGTGGTGTTCACAGGCCAGAACTGTGAACCGAGGCTGCCCAGCGTGAGATCTGGATTAATTACCAGCCAAATTGTACTGGGTTTTCAACACCGATTTTAACTCTGGGCAGGAAACCTGGAATCTCGTTGATGGTTATTTGAAACAAATGAATTCCCCGGGCCTCACACATCCTCAGAAGCCTGGCTTCCTTTGAAGGCTCTGTGTTCAGTTCTTTACATCAGGCATTTAGTCAATCCTCATTTACTCCTTGGGGTAGATGGGACAGTAGCTATGGTAAGGGGAGCTGCAAAGAATCCTTGCACCACGTGTGCAGCTATTAAGTGGTAGGACCAAGATTTAAACAAAGGTCAGCCTGTGGTTTAGTAAGTCTGCTCAGCTGCCTCTCTTCCTATGGGAGGGGAAGAGAGGGGAGGCCAAGCAGGTACTCCCTGAATGCCATGCCGCAGAGTTAGGACTTAACCTGGGAAATGGGGAGCCATTGAATGTAGTTGAGCAGGAGAATGCCTTGGGAAGATGAATCAGGCTGCGTGAAGGAAGACTGAAGAGGGGAGAGGGTGGAGGTAGGGAGACAAGTCAGAGGACTGTTTCAGGTTCTCAGGGAGTGGTGATGAAGACTGGACCTGGCTGTGACCGCTGAAATAGACGGAACATCTGAGTGACGATTGTATACCAGGCACTGTATTAAATATTTACCATCCTCATTCCAGTCATCCTCGATAATCCTACGAGGAGGGTATTATTGCCCCACGTGATAGGCGCAGGCTGGTTAAGGAACTTGCCCAAACCCAGCTAATAGGTGCAGCACTGGAGTTTGAACCCAGGCCCGTTTGATGCAAAAGCCTTTGCTTACACCCTTTATGCTATCCTGCCTCTTTGCGATGCAGAGAAGCTTGGTGTGACCTTGGACAAGTCCCTTCTCTGCTCAAGCTCTGCAGAGAACTTGGCTGAACTCTGAGGTCTCTTGCTGTTTCATTTTATCAAACATTTGGCTGAGCCTTGGGGAGAGAGAGATGACTCATATCCCATTAGATCCTTTGAGGAGATTGTAGTCTAGCGGGAGAGGCGGGCTTCTAGGCAGACAATTCCCCAAATATAATACAGTAGCCTTGAAGCAGAGGAAAAGAGGGGCCTTGGCCCAACTTGGGAGAGGGATCAGGGAAGGCTTCCTGGGGAAAGCGACACACTAAGTTAGCTGAATAATAAAAGATGAAAACTTCAAAGACCAAGAAATAGCAGCTGCAAAGGCCTAAAAGCCCCAAAGAGTGTGAGTTCCTCAAGCGGGGATCTCAGGGGACCTCTTCTCAACCGAGGATTTCCATGTCCAGAGATCTAGATAGGTTTGTTGAATGACTGCTTGACTCTATTCTCTCCTGTCACTTGGCACTGATGCTGTCTTCTTGCCTGTTTTTCAGGGTCCCCCTGGGTTGCCTGGGCTCCCTGGACCCCCTGGTGCACGGGGTCCTCGGGTAAGTAGTCACACACTGTCCTTTCAGTTCTGGTTGGCTCTTTGGCCTGTATCCCCTGCCCCTGAAGTCCCAGCTTTGCTGTGTGTCTTTGTGCTGCCCGACGCCCGTTTTCCAGTTGGCCCGTTAGAGTGGATGTAGGGCTCTTAAGGGGCACTGCGTGGCTAGACATGGCATGGGATAGCGAGGACCTCTTGCAGGGCCTCAGCTGCTCATTGTGGGTATCACCTCTGGGTGGCAGCCTGGAGTGGAGAAGGGGTTTCTCAGACCACATCCCCTCAGCTGACGGGCTTTGGTGTCTGTCCAGGGCAAAAAGCTGACTTGGGAGAGCATGACCCTTGCGTCCATCTTCCCACCTCTGCTGGGCCAACCTGGGGTAGAGATGCTAACACAGGCAACTGGACTAGCCATGCCAGGGACGGGGTGAGCTCCCCACGCTGGGAGGACCAACTAGAGGCTGGAGGATGGCTTGGCTGGGCTGCAGTGGCTGAAAGGAGCGAGCCTGAACCTCGGAGTGAAAAACAGTTCCTGTGTTCCACCTGACATGTCACCTAATGCAGCCTTATTTCATCCCCTCTCCAGTGTGATCCAGTGTGATCCAGTGTGATCACTCTCACTGTAGGGATGAGAGAACCAAACAACTAGGAAATGGAAGAGCCAGGACTAGAACCAGGCTCTTAACCATATGATACTGGGACTCTTGGGAGTCCTTTTGAAGGGAAATCTGTCCTTTTCCCAAGAGGGCTCAGACCCATGGCGCCTGGCATCTGTGCCCAGGCTGAATCAGCCTTTCCCACGCTGGGTGCCTGGCGAGGCCCTGGCAGAGATAGCTGCCTGGGGCATATTTTTAGCTCTGAGCCCAGCGGATGGTTCTGGTTATGCAATTACTCGAGCCCTAGTTCCCTCCAGACCTGGCCCTGTGCTCCCTGGGCCCAGGGCTCTGGAATCTGCTGTCTGAGTAGCATTTCCTTCTGGTTTCAGAGTCTCCATGGAGCACTTGCCCAGAGCTTGGGACCATGAAGGTATCATGGACCCTGCTGGCCAAGGGGCCTTGTAGCTTGGGGCCAGGATGAGGCCCTTGGACCTAGCATTCCAGGAATCTTCAGTCTGCCCATGCCTCCAAACTCCTCCTGAGCCCCCAGCCCCTGCACCTTTGGGCTGTCCCCTCAACCAGGCTTGCATTCCTTGCAAACTCCTCTTCCATCCGTGGTGCAGATCAAATGCTGCCTCCTTTTCTGATGATCACCCCCTTCTTAGAATTCCCACAGCAGTTAACTGCCCCTCTGGATAGGATGGATCCCTTCGTAAAAGCTCACATTGACAGCTGAACTCTGTCACCTGAGTGGCATATGTGTGATTTCATCCCATCTTCCCAGCCATCCTGAGAACTAGGTTCCAATATTATCCCCATTTTACAAGTGAGGAAACTGAGGCTCAGAAAAGTTCAGTAATTTTGGATAAAGTCAAATATAGAGTAAATGCCAGAGCCAGGGTTGAACCCAGTCTGACTCCAGAGCCTGTGATCTTAAATCAGCTGTTGTACTAATTTTTCCATCTACTCAGCTGAGCCCCTCTGGGCCAGAAACAGGCCCTGTCAACTTTATTTTTCTTACCCAATGCGTAGCAGAGTACCCTGCATGCAAAAGGTGCTGGGCAAATGGTTGCTGACAGGTTCTAGTCTGGGAGTCGAAAACATTTCCGTGAGTAAGCTGTGTGACCTTAGGCAAGTCCCTTCCCTACTCTGGGCCTCAGTTTCTGCATCTATAAAACATGGGATCATGGTAAGGCATTTCCAAGTTCCTCCCAGCTCTGAAATTCCACAAGTGAGGGAATGACTCTACTGACATCCTTCTCAGGCTCTCTGTGTGCTCTCCCTCCCCACCGCCCACCCATCACCTTGTTTCTGGATTGGAAATTCCATAGATCACAAAATTCCAAAGATATACAATGCTAGGATTAAACAATCCCAGTTCCTCTGTACAGATAGTGGCTCTGGGGTTCAGGGAGGGGCAGGGCCTTACCTGAGGTCACCCAAAGCTCTATGGCTTGTCCCTTTCTGCCTCCACATAGTCCCCTGGCCCATTGGGGGACGCTGGGGAATCCCTAGGCCCTCCCTCCATTTGGCTTTTTGGACTGTAGCATTTGTGGACTTGGTCTGCTTGGCTCCCAGTCAACTATGTGATTTGTTTCTCTGCAAGGCAGTGGCTGGAGAGGGTGGGGAGGCGGGGGCGGGAAAGCAGGAAGCCCCCACCTTTACACGCTGCAGATGCTCCAACCCTCCATCTTTGGGGCAGCTAGGGGCACCAATGGGGAGAGGTGGTCACTCTTGACCTCGCCTGGCATGGTCCACGCCTGGTTCTGGGGCACTTGACGTGAGGGTCCCCTCCTCAAACACCCTCGTACAATTCAGGCTGAGCTCTGAGGTTAGATCCCAGGAGCCCAGGCTGGGGTGAAGCTCTGAAGTCTTCCAGATTCCTTAGAGACCATGAGTCCCAGGTATTCATGGAACAGATGGGGAGACTGAGGCTGGAGACAGGGAAGGCTCAGAACTGGAACGAGGTTGCATCTAAGGGTGAGGAGACAGTGTTTGGTGACGTGTTGGGAAGGGGCTGGAGGGCTGATTATTTTGGAGGTCATCCGTGACACCATTATAAATCCCCCGGGCTGAGGGAGCTTCCGAACACTGGTCTTTCTGGATGTGGCTGGAGAAAGGGAGGGTCCCATTTCAGGCATCGAGGAAGGGGGAGGTACTTCGGGCGGAATGTGACAGGCTGCAGCTGGGAAGTTGGCCTCGAAGAGGGAGGAAGGAAGCAAATTCATACACAGCCAGATGAGTCAAATGGGGCCAGGGACGAGGGCAGTGTGTCTAGAGGCTGGGGTACCCTTGAGATGCCTGTCTCCACCCCCAATGCCTCAGAGTATTCCTACTGGACAAAGACCCTCAGAAAGTACTTGACTCTTAGGACTTTGTTTATGTTACTGGGCTGTAGGACTCTAGACCAGGGCCCTTGTGGAGAAAGTGGACATAAGGCCCCAGCTGTTGTAAGGGAGATTTGAATATGGTCTGGGAAAATCCAGTGCCGTGAATAAACCTTGGACTTGAAACCAACAAACTGGGTCCCGGCCCTGGCTTGGCCACTACGCTGCTGTGTGACTTTGGCCAAGACATTTTGACTCTCTGGGTTCAGTCTTCCTAGCTGCTTCATGGTCTCTGGGGGATCCTGTAAGCTCAGAGCATGTAGGAATCTAAGGGAGAGCTCTGACTGTAGGCTGTGGCCACAGGAGAGATGCACATTTGTTCAGAGGAGGCCGAGAGCTCCCTTGACTGAGCTCGCAAATCCATAGGCTCACACAAAGTCCAGTTGGGGTCTAAATGGTGGAGAGCTTCCCTTAAGCAGGAGGAGTCCCAGAAGGCTCCCTGGAGGAAGTGGCATTAAAGCCAGACCTTGAAGGATGGGGTGGATTTCAGCTGGAGAGGATGGACAGGAAAGGCATGCAAAATGATGGAACAGCATGGCAAAGGTGATGCGGAGACGAAGTACCAGATGCAGTGCAGGAAAGCTAAGTGTGCTTTGAGCCCGAGGAAGCAAGTGTGGAAGGGGCTCATGGGGTCAGGGGGAGAGAGCGTGGAAAGGTGGTAAAATTCAGAAGTTAAGGGCTTGTGCTCTGAAGCCACACATTTGAGGTTAAGATCTAGCTTTGTCCCTTAGCAGCTGGGTGACCTGAGAATGGTATAAACCTCTCTGGCATCACTTCCTCATCTTCAAAATAGGAATCACGGTAGCTCCTACCTTGTGGGTCAATAGGATAAAAGGAGATAATGCATGGAGAGTGCTTAGTGTGGGGCTGGGCATCGAAGGAGCCTCTCTGAAAGCAGGCTGCCGTGGCCACACTGCTGAGACTCGGCTAGTGGAGAAGACATAGCCGGAGGAAGGAAGTGCCGGGCCCTGCTCTAGGGAGTGGAATTTTTCTCTCATTTCTTTTTTTCTCTTCCCTTTCAGGGTCCTCCTGGGCCTTATGGAAATCCAGGCCTCCCTGGTCCACCTGGGGCCAAAGTGAGTATTTGCTGTGGGATCTGGACGAGGGTCCATGGAGTGGATGCTGGGGTTAGGGCTGTGTTTGAGGAACTTCCTTTCCTTGAAGCTCCTGGTGGGAGGGCCTCAGGGTCACCGTGGAGGATGCATATTCGGGCCACAAGCACTCCCTGAGTGCCTCCCAGTGAGGAGCTAGGAGTTTAGCTTCTGGTGGGGAGGGGTTGGGTGGAGAAGGGCAGCTGGAAACTAGGGCCCTCAAAAGGAGCGGGAAGAGGGATCATAAGACACACCCCGGGAGGCATGTCAAGTTTTGAGGTGGAGAGGAACATGGAAAGATCACACTTGAGAAAGATCCCTGGATGCCGTGTGGAAGATGGACTCAGGGCGGGGACCAGAGCAGTCAGGAGGACCTGGGATGATACAAACCCGCATTGTGTTGTGGGAGGAGGGGAAGCAGGTGCCTTGACAATGTGGATATGAGGCAGAGAGGAGTCAGGGATGGATGAGAGGAGAGAGATTGTGACTCCCTGGTGTTAGTCTAGGTGACTAAACCGAGGAACCCAGTAGAAGGAATAAGACGATGCTGCCTCTGGGAGCCTGTAACACAGCCAGGCGGAACTGATTCATGGGCGTTCTGAAACTCAGGAAGGCTCTGAGCTGGAGATAGAGCCTTGGGAGGTGGCCAGCACAGAAATGCCACCTCTGGACTTTAGATGAGACCAGAAACCTGAGTGACTGGTGCTCGGATGAGTGTGAGGACTCCAGCCCTGGAGCGCCGCCAGAGAACAGAGCTGTCCAGGGCGGTGCGTGGAGTGAGAAGCACTCTAACGGGCCAGCCGTGTGCAGGTTACTGGCAGAAGTCTCGATGAATGGCTGGAGAAATAGGAGGAGGGGAAGGAAGACGCAGGGTCAGGGAAGCCAAGAGCACAGCAACTGTGCCAGAGAGTGTGGGGAGGCCAGGAAGGGCACAGAGGCCACCCAGCCTGTCAGCCGTGGGGTCACCAGGTGAAGAGCACCCCTGGGCTTTGGTTGGCCCAAGCCCAAGGTCCTTCTTTGCTAACCCAGTGACAAAGGTCTCGTAGCCCCAGCTCATGCAGTGATTGACAGCTGAGCATCCTCCAAAGGCCAGTCCTGACTGCTGGAGGAGAGCTCCTCCACCTGCTGATTTGTCTGGAAGTTTGGGACAAAGGTGCACAGGCCACCCTGGATGTGTGACAATATGGCACCCGAGTGCTGGTGCAGGGCCCTTGTGCAGAACTGCAGGAGAGCCTCGCCTCAGCCCCTGTAGGTGTGTGACTATGGCCAGGGCTGGGCGGGGTCCTTCCTTAGAGGGCAAGCACAGAGGCCTCAAGGTCGGGGGCCAGCAGCTGCCTGGAGGTGCCCTGGGTTTTAACAAGACACATACACGGGTGATAATAAGCACCGGATATTGGACCCTTACTGTGTGCTTGGTGCTCTGCATGCACTTCATGCAGCCTGTCCAGTTTGATTCCTAGACATAGACCTAATGAGATGGTGGAGATACTATGCCCATTTACAAATGGGGAAACAGAGGCTCAGGTAGATTAAGACACTGCTCGGAACTGGCAGTGAGACCAACCCTCATGGGTCAGGCAGAGAAAGGGGAGCTCCTTTGGAGACTTCCGCTTTGCAGGTCTCCCAGGCCGTGGGCTACATCAAGATGCTAAGGGTCAGCAGCTGCTTTGATTGCCTGGTTTGCTAAGGAACACGTCCTTCTTGGCCTGCTCTGGGCCTGCCTGCTCTTTCCCGCTCCCTCCCGCTCCCAGACTTGACCCTAGGCTTCTGTGGCAGCAGATGCACCATCAGCTTCTCCCGGGCCAAGCTGGCCCCACGCGGCAGGGCCTCAGCCCCAGTCTGGCCTGCAGCCCACTCCCGTCCTGCCAGCCAATGTGCAGAGGCAGGACGAGGACCCGCCAGCTGCTTTCCCCTCCAATTTAAGGAACAACTTTGGGTGTGGGGAGGGAGGCTCAGACCGAGCAGGTGAGCCCCCCCGCTGCCCCACAGGGCTGGGACCTGTGGACTCAGGGCCTCATGGACAGGCTTTCAGCTTGCTCCTGTGTAAACAAAGAAGGGTGTGGGCTCCAGAAAATACATCTGAATTAGAGCTTGTATAAAATGCCAAGGGGAAAAGTCATGCCCTTTGCCTGGACACTTGGCTGGGAGGCTAGACGGGGAGCAGAGGTAGACCCAGGACAGGTCAGTTGGATGGGTGGCCCCAGTCAGCTGGGCTTGGGCCCCGGGGTGCTCTTCATCTGTGGCATGGCCAGGATAGGGTTAAAGAGAGGCTCTTCCGGATGGAATTCCTGACTTAGCTGAGATTGGAAGAGAATGTTGTGGATCTGCAGGAATGGGTGTGATTCTGGGGAGAGGGTTCTCACTGTTTACCAGATCCTTTGGGGGCCTGGGAGGTGACCTGGTGGGACTGTAGGGCTGGCCTCCTCCAAGCCCTGTGCTGGCTCCTCCTTTTCTGCATGGTGTTGGCTTCTAGAACCACATCTGGGGCCACCCATCCATTCGTCTTCCTTCAGTCAACAAACATTTATTGAGCACCTACTATGTGCTGTTGATGGCAAAATTAGACAAACAGGCAGGGCCCGCTGTGGTGGCAGGGATCCTGCCCTTTGTCTGGGTGGGTCCCTGTGAGGTCATTCCTGCACCGTATTTATTGAGCCCGTGGGAGCTTTTGGCCTTGTGAGTTGAGAATCCCCCTGCCAGACTAAGGATGGGAGAGACCGGTGGACTGAGAAATCAAAAAGAGGAGACAGAGCAAGGGTGAGGAACTTCATCTCGCTGTCCCAGAGGAGTGAAGACCCAAAGGGCCAATGACTTGCTAGCGTCAACTTGCAGTGACTAACAGTGGCAGGGCTGTGTTTCTTGTCCTGGGGTTTGCCGGCCAGAAGACACTCATCAGGGCTCCAGAGCTGGTACAGGCCAGAGCCAGGCTTCACCCTCACCTGCCTCCTCCAGAGCCCAAGGCTTTCCCCACGCACCACATACCCATACCTCCCATGTTCAGATCCATCAAGAAGAGGGTTCGTCAGCTCCCGCGGGGAGTCAGGATCAAGGGCTTTGAGAATGAAGCAGAGGCCAGAACCCTGGGAGGATGGCATTAGCTGTCCATGGAGGCCCAGCATTGAGTCATGTGTCCAACCGACCATGGTTGTAGCTGCAGGAGAGCGCAGTGGTTAAGAGCACAGACTGGAGCCAAATGGTCGAAGTACACATCCCAGCTCTGTCACCTCCCAGTTCTGTGACTGTGAGCACATTATGTGAACTTCCCATGTCTCAGTCTCCTCATCTGGAAAATGGGGTAATAAGAGTAGCAGCCCTCTCAGGTTGTCATGAGGTATAACTGAGTTAGTTACTCAGAGCAGTGCTGGCCTGTGGCAAGTGGTCAGCTGTTGGCATGTGCAATGGGCACAGACAGGTATGGTCCCTGCCCTTGTGGAAAAAAGCTGATCGCACCATGGAAAGGGCTCCATGTGAGAGGTACCTGGTGCTCAGAGACCCCACAAAATGGCAATCGGTCTGGCCTGGGAGGTGAGACCCGCCTCCCTGGAGGGTGGGAAGGTTGAATCAAGGTCTGAAGTGCAGATGACCAGGCCAAGGGGCAGGAGGAGGCTGGGGAGGGCAGCAGGCCTGGTGGGTGTGACAAGACTTTTGGACTTTATCCAAAGAGCAGCAGGAAGACAAGAGGTTTTCAGCAGACAAGACATGATTAGGTGGAGTTTGTGAAGGCCACTCAGGCGTTGTAAGAAGCTTAGTTGATGTTCAGCAGGGTGAGGGGTGGCCAGCAAGGAGGCCTTGAGCTGCCCTAGTCGGGTTGCTGATACTGGACCAGGTGAAGTCAGATGGGATTCAGGGCTGAGGTGGGGGTAAGCAGCTCTGGGCCAGAGGTGGGTGGGGCTCCACCTGTGCCTACCCTGGGCCACAGGGCACCTGGCAGCTGGCCACCGCATCCCTTCTCTGGCCTACTTAGTTTGCAATGAATTACCCCGGATGACCATGGGCCCTCGGGTACCTGGGAAGGATGGGCAGGCAGGAGGGGCCGTGCTTAGTGACCCAGGTGACTGCTGGCAGAGCTGGTAGAAGCTGAGGTGGAGTCAGCCCTTAGACAGTACTCTTGGGCCTCAGGCCCCAGCCTACCTTCCCCCTTCCTCTGATGACTGAGATAGGACATGCTCCTTAAGGAAAATGTGGAAAAGTCTAGAAAGTATCAAGAAGAAAGAAGGTTTCCTGTAGTGGCTCTGCCCAGTGACAGGCACTGATGGCATTTTGAGCAGCCTCTGGGCCAGGAACTGGCCGAGAGCTTTACATACTTTGCAGGGCAGATGTTAACACTCCCATTTTACAGATGAGAAAACTAAGGTCCAAAGTGGCTAAGTAACTTGCCTATTTCTGATAAGTGGCAGAGATAACATTCGAACCCTCTACTGCCTGACTCCAGTTTTAGCCACAGGGGAATTCAGTTCCATAGCTCTTTAGCCTTTCTCTGTGGATTAAGCAATATATATTAATCAAGATACATACATGCATATATATACATATATATATATATATACATGTATACATACATGTGTATGAATAATTTAAAATATGCCTTGCATAAGTGTTTAGCTGTTATTTTATTAACAATTGCCTTTTGGAAAGATTGAATTGATCCATGCCACTGCTAGCATTAGAGGAGGATGTTTGAAAAAGGTAATTCATTATTGCTTTCAATTCACTTCGTTGCGTCGATCATCTATGAGAAGAATGTTTTTCTTACATTTGTTTTCTATTCACGTTTCACCATATATGAATTTGTTCATTTTGGGGGGTTGTCTTTTGTTATTGATTTTTTTAAATTGAAGTATTATCAGTTTAGAATGTTGTGTTAATTTCTGGTGTGTTGATTTGTAAAAATTATTTGTGTTTATATATTGAGGCTTACTAAGGCTTCATCTACCTTACAAATATCTTTAAGTTTACTGTTTGCCTATTAAGAGTATTCATGATAATTTTCACAAATGGAAGTGTTACCTTTTTTTTTTTAACTAACAATAATAGCTAACATATTAGGAACTTAACAACATGTCAGATTGGAGAGAACTCTACCATATGTAAGATGTATGGGTTTTTTTTTTTATACTTAGACATTTCTTTCCCACACTAAGACAAGATCAATATTCATTTATATTCCTAGTCATGTCATAATATCATTTGTACTCTTAAAATTTTAAACCATCTGGAATTAATCTTCATGGGATGGGTATGAGGTATAATTTTATTTTCCCCCCAATAGTTGACCATTTATTAAATAGCTTTTCCTTCACTGACTATTATATGATAGACCAGGGTCTATTTCAGGCCATTCAGATATGTTTCATTGCTCTGTTTGTATATTTTTATGCTAGTAAAATGCTTTTTTATGACATTTTTTATCTTTATACTGTGTGTCTCCCTCCTCCACTTTTAAAAAATAGTTCTGGCTATTTAATCTGTCAGATGAACTTTATGCCTATCTTAATAATTTCCTTTAAAAACTCTCTTGGAGTTTTTCTTGGAATTGTATTAAATATGTTTATTAATTTATGAAGAATTATCATCTTTAAAATATTGTTTTCCTGTCTAAAACCATGGCATATCTTCCCATTTGGTTGAGTTTTTAAAACAGCTAATAATAAACTACTAGAGTTTTTATTGCATAAACTCTGCACATTTGTTACTAAGTTTGTACTTAGAAATTTTATATTTTTGTTCCTGTTATGAATGGAATATTTTCCCCATTATATTTTATAGCTGGCTTTCAGCTATTGAAAAGAACTATTCACTTTGTATATTTGTACTTTTTGTGTTTATTTTATAACCAAGCCCTTTACTGAATTATTTTATTAGTTCTAACAGTATTTCAGTTACTTCTCCTGGATTTTCTAGACAGGCACTCATAATATTTGCAAAAAAAGGACATATTTTTGTCTCACTTTCCTCAAAGGTTAGGTCTTATTTGTTTTTCCTGCCTTATTGCCGTGGCCAGAACTTCTAAACACATGAAATAGTAATGGTGATGGTGAGAAGCATAGTGAATCTTCAGAGAACCTTCCAGGGCTGGGGCCAGATCTGACCTAATCTCAGCCCAAGAGCTGTCTCTTGAGACTCCATTCACTCATTTGCTCATTTGAAAAGTATTTTTATGATGCCTCTTCTGGGCCAAGCCCTGTGCTAGGTCCTCAGAATCTTATTATCTTGCAAGAGATAACTTACACAGGGGACTTCTGGCCCAGAAATTTTCAGTCCTTTGTGGTTTGTTCCTTCTTTGTCTGAGCCCTTCTCAAGGCCTCATCGCCCAAAGCCTTCTATTCTCTCCACCTCCCAACCCACCTGCAGGAAAGAAGCTCATAGTCTCCATTCCCGTTATATTTGTAGTATTTATTGTTTAAGATATAGCTTCTCAACCATCTTCTAGTTCTGCAAGTCTCTGTTAACTAGTCCAAAATCTACTGTTCCATACACAGAGAGGGAAAGGGGCGTTGCTCAAGGTCACACAAACTCATTGACTAAAGAGCTGAGTCTGGCAGCCAGGTTCTCATGACCTCACCAAGGTGTAAACAACTAATTAGACCTTATATAGTCCTCATATCTCTTACTGGGGAATTTGCAGGAGTCTGGCTGGGAAGACAGAGAGTCTTCTCCATCCCACAAGTCACACCTTCAGCTGACTAAGGATGTCTTGAGCATCCTTGGAGCCCAAACTTCATCTGGCTCCCACCTTGTCTTTCTCCAGCCTTAACTTGGCTGTAACTCCCTTCAGGGATTCACTCTCAGTCTGGGTCAAGTTCTCCCTGACTTCCTCTTGTACTCTACATATCACTGGATCATCATTTTTCATCTGCAGTGTATTGAAATGTAAAGACCTGGGGCTCCAGAAGTGGACTTCCTGAGTCTAAATCCCACTTGTATAACTTTGGACAAATAACTCACCCTCTCTATGCCTTAGTTTCCTCATCTGTGAAATGGGGATAGTGATCATTGCTACCTCATAGCTTTATGTGTCAAGGGCTTAGAAGAAAACTCAGTAAATGCTAGTGCAGATTATCATTACCAGTCTCTGGCTTCTCCCTTTAGAGGGCCCTACAGGCACGAGCTGTGTCGATCCCACTGTGGTATCCTCTGTGTGCATTGCGAGACGTGGCTCTCAGTAGATGTTCAGTCAGTACGTGTGTTTGTTGATATTGTACCCGGGCAGGGATTACATCCCAAACACTGTGCTGGCTGCTGAGAATGCAGAGAGAAGTCCATAGGAACTAAAATGCCCCAGATACAGACTCTGGGTCTCAGTTTCCCCTTTTGTAAAATGACAGAACAGGATGCATGAAGGCCCACCCATGAAAGCATTTTTAGCCCAGCTCCTCTGTTGGCTGCAGACTGAGGTGGGCAAGGGTGGGGCGGGGAGAAACTGCTGTCCTTTTTTGGCCATTGGAATCCTGGGTAGCCCTGGGCCTGGCCTTGCACATGGACTTAAAAGGCATTGGAACGGGGCTTGTGAGCAGCCGAGGGTGGGAGAGTGTCGGTGAGGGGCAGCCGCGGTGGGAGGTAGTAGATCCTAGAGGCAGGTCCTGCAGAGGTAACCTGGAGGGGCCCAGGTGGACAGAGAATTGGGGTCCTAGCAAGGAGGGAATGGCTTATAGACTGGGGCAGCCCGGAGGTCGTGTGGGAGAAGCATCCAGGCTTCCCATTCATAAACAAGGGCTCTGGAGTCAGATAGACCAGGGACTTAGACTTAGTAAGACCTGACACCTTACCTACGTGCCACCCCAGGTTGTGACTCGGCCTCCCTGAGCCCTGGCCTTGGTCCTGTGGTGCAACAAGTGGGTGTAAGAGGACTAACGAGGTGCTGTGTTGAGTGGGCCTGGCCAGCTCCGGGCGCTTGGTAGGTGGGCAGTGAAAGGCGCCCCTCCCTCTTTAAGGCTCTGTCCTGTTTGGAATGCAGTGATTTCTTGTGGAGAGTGGCTGAGTCAAGATTTGGAGGGTCTGAGTCCTGAGGAAGAAAAGAACCAAATGGGAACTTATTAAAGTTGGCCAAACCACCCCTCCCACGTGTTGCATTAACTCACCGGCTCTTTGAATCTGGGATGTCAGTGGGTATGTGTGCATGTGTGTGTGTGTGCACATGCGCGTGCGTGTGCTCGCTCATGCGCACGCAGGTACACATGCTGTGCAGCCCCTGTGATAAAGGTGAGAAACCGAGGCTCAGAGAGAGAAGTGACTTACCTGAGGTCCTACTGTGAGTCTGTCTCTTCTCCCCAGGACTTCTGCCTCAGTACTCAGCTTGGAGAGGGAGCTTGGGAGTGAGGGTGAGGGACAGGGGTCAGAGGCTCTTGGAAGGTGACATCAGGGGGACTGACTTTCCAAAGGACTGTCTCTTGAGTAATTTGATGAAGTTGGGCCAAAAAGCCTGACACAGCCGGGAGCCCTCTTGAGCCCTGGAAGAGACGTGGCAGGCGGGCAGAGGGACCCCATCTATAGGTGGGGCTGGTGGAAGGAGAGCCAAGCCTGGACAGGATGGCTGGGACCAGGTGATGGAAGACTTGGGACACCAAAGGAGGAGTAGGAATTTGTCATCAGGAGAGGTGGGGCTGTACGGAAGGTGTTGGTGCAGGGGAGTAATGGGATTGGAGAAGACCCTGTGGAGGAGTGTGAGCGGGGTGGGTGGGAGGGCACCTGATTAGGGAACAGGGATTTGAGCAGAGTTGGTGGGGAGACATCCTCTTTAGACGACTCGGTGGCCAAAGTGGAATTGTTTTTGTTTCAGGGACAGAAAGGGGACCCGGGGCTCTCACCAGGCAAGGCCTACGATGGGGCAAAGGTAGGTTTCCAGGGACTCCAGCGCTCAGGGACGTTGCGGGGTGGACAGTAGGGAAACTGCTGTGCTCTGGGGTGAACCCTCCCGACAGAGGCCAATGCGTGACAAAGGCAGGAGGTGGGAAGTAGAAAAGGACGTGGTCTGTTTTCTCCTTAAAGCCTTTCAGCTTTCCCTACACCAAACCCAAAGCCATTCCCTTCTGCCTTCGGCGTGCAACCAGGAAGCCCGACAAAAGATGTTGCCTGTGGACACGCCCTTGGTGAATGTCCTTTTGCCTAATGCTCTGAGTGGCTTTCTGCAGGGCCTGCTAGGTGACCCTCGGCATCCAGAAGCTTCTTGGTAGCAACATGCCCAGGAAGCTTCCAACAGACATTCAAAGTCCCCTCTGAGGTGGTTTGTTTGAGCAGACAGGTCTGTGGATTTTCAGGACGTGGGAAGGGAATGGGCCTGAGACTCAGGGCCAAAACCAGAAAGTTCTCCCGTGGAAGAGAGAATACTTAGGCCACAGGATTTGACCCATCCCTGAAGTGCCCACCCCATAGGGGCCTGGAGGGAGCGCAGGACAGGCCAGGGCAGGAGAACCCAGAACTCCAGTTAAGGTTGTCCTCTGTCCCAGACATGCACATCATGGGAGGAATCCTCAAGACCGTCTGATTTCCTTCTGGACACAACCCAAGAGCCCTCCTGACAGGCAGAACACTGCTTCTCAGCCCAGCCTCCTGTGCGGGGGGACTTGGAGGGGACAGTGCCTGTCGACTTCTCTGAGACACAAGTGGCTCGTCCCCTCACGTTTTCATGGGAAGTTTTCTCACTCAGCAAACTCTTACTGGGTGGAAACATCCCACCTGCTCCTCACTGGAAGCTCATAAGCCAGGCGGATGGGCCCAGCTTGCCGATGAGAAAACAGAGCCCCCAGAGGCGGGTGGCTTGCCAGAGGCAAGATCAAATGGGGCGGCTGAGTTAAGTGATGAGGAGGCCAGATACCCCACCCACTTGGCTGCCCTCTCCCCTGCTCAGTGTCTCCTCTTAGGCCTCTAGGCCTCCAGGAATCCTGTCTGCAAACAACCGGCTGGCCTTGGGAGGTCACTCTTTCAATTTAAGGAGTGTCAGCTCCCGTTCCCCCACCTCATCCCCTTGTCTGTGTTTTTCAGGGCGACATGGGCTTGCCAGGGCTTTCGGGGAATCCAGGACCTCTTGGACGAAAGGTACACCTTGTTGTCAATGCTTTGCCTTGCCTGGTGGGCTTCCTAGCAAGCAGGTTCTTCAGGCAGGAACTTTACGTGCTGCCTGCTTGCCTGCCCTCCTCTCCCCTGCCCCGGCCTAGCTCCCTCGGGCACAGGGACGATGGCAGGAGGGGAGACACGTTTCCAAGTGTCTGTGCTTGCCTGGGGGCGGGAAGCATCTTGGCCTGGAGGAGGTCCCCCTACCATGGCTAAGGAGATGTGACAAGAAGTGGCTCTGGTTTGCTGTCCTTCCTCTCTGGGGCCAGTTGCTCCGGGGAGGCCATCCTAGGGGGCACTCCTGGAGGTGGAAGGCATATTGTCAGAGCCAGGGGGGCCCCCATGAGCCCAGCTCCGCCTCCCACCTGCCACGTGACCTGGGCCTATGCGTCCCCTCTCTGAGTCTCAGCCCCCTCCAACCTGGGATGGAGACTGTCACCCTCCTGCCTGGGCCCCCTGGGGCTGTAAACCCAGAGGGAGGCCTGGAGCATAGAGTTTGAGAGAGGTAAATCTGGTTGTACTCCCAGCTCCACCATTTCCTTGCTGTGTGACCTGAGGCAAATCAGTAACCTCTCTGGGTCTAATATTTGTCCCTCCCTGTTACACTGCAGAGAAATGCTCTATAAAAGCAATGCCTTCTCTATACATTCTAAGCTGTTGTCATTCCATCCCCACTCCCATCCCTGCTTCAGTCATGCTGGGGGAGTTACCCCTCTAGTTGCTTTTGGGGGAAGGTCTGCCACTTTTCTAGATGGTGGGTCTCTGGCTTCCAGTGCCCCTGGATTCCTCTCCAGCTTCCCAGCCAGGGCACCTCATCCTTCAGATTCAACTCTAGTAGCGCCTATTCCAGGAAGCCCTCCTGGAACCCCAGCCTTCAGGCCAAGTGCCTCCATTCTGCTCAAGGACCTCTTAGGCCATCTTAGCTGAGTTATTTTCAGCCCCAAGTCCAGCCTCACCAACCAGTACGTGTAGATCTGGTTTGTCACTCTCCCTGCTAAGCCTAGCCCAGGGCCTGTGCATAGTAGGTGTTTGGGAAATGGAGAGGACCGTGCAGGCCAACGGTCATTTGCTTTTTGCAGGAAAACCTCCCATTGCTGTTGAGTTTTCCAGTAGATACATCAGCCTAGGGCCACGTCTTAAGCTTCCACCCTGGCTCCCAGCTGTGGCCACAGCTACCCTCTCTCTAAGCCATCTGGTTCTCATCTGGACAGCTTGGTATCTCCTGGCTCCATCCTGTCCATGCTCTAAGGGTCCTGTAGCACACAGGGACTTGGAGCATCATGTTCCTCCCCAACCCCTCCCCTTCTCCTCCACCCTCTGTGGCCAGAGCCAAACAGGCAGTCTGTGAGCTGGGGAAGTTGGTCTTTTCTGGCTCAAGGGACGCAGAGGGACTCCCTCTCCCTACTCACTTCCCCTCTGGGCTCCAGCACTTTCTGATGGATGAGGTGTGAGTGGAAAGTCTCCTTCCAGTCCCGGCTCATAAAGCAGCCAGTGGTGGTCTCGTTCTGCATGGGGGTAGGAGTCTAGCAGAGGAAGCAGGAGATGGAAAAACAGACTAAACTGGCTCCTGCCTGGGGTTCCAGGCCTTCTTGCTCTCAGCAGATGTCCAGGGAGGCCCAGAGCCCCCAGCCCAAAGGAACCAGCTCACCTGAGCAGGGAGAGACATCTTTTCTAAATTAAGAGTATCATTTGGCAAAGCCACTTGTACCGAGTCCCTCTGGCCCCAGCCTAGGCAAACACAGAGGGGTTTGATTATGGCAGGCCAGTGTCACCTGCTCACAGAGGATGGTGGACAGAGCATGGGGGAGCTCAGGTCCTAAGGCAGGGACCGCTGACCAATGGTAGGGGTCAGGGAGAAGGACCAATGCGGTGAGCGACCATGCCTGGAATTGTCACTGTTTATCAGCAGTCTCTCCTCCCACAAGTGTCTTTGGTGACAACAGTAGCCACTTTGCCCTGATCCTGTGGGGTGGTTTTTCTGCATCATCTCACATGGGGAGCCTTGAGGGAGAAGGAACATCAATGGGTGAGAGGGGTGGGCAGCATCCCCTCTGCTCCTTGAATTTTGCACACTGAATTTTGGTGTCACCTCAGAGGGACACCAGTAACCCTATTCATTCATGTATTCAACAGAAGGGATTGAATGCTTGTTGTGTGTCAGACACTGAGCTGAATAAATAGACAAAAAGCCCTTTTCCTCAGGGCCTGCAGTCTTGTGGGGAGAGAAGTCAACAGAAACAGTAAAAATACAAGGTGTTAGGAGCTGAAAAGGGCCATGGAGGAAAATAGGCAGAAGAAAGGGAGATTTGGTTTAGAGGTTATCACATTGACTAGCGTGACAGAAAGGCTAACTGTCCCTCATCATATTCTTTCCTCACAGTAGCCTCCAGGAGTTAGGTAGTATTGTGCCCATTTTACAGCTGAGAAAATTGAGGCCTAAATAGGCCTCATTCATTCATTCATTCATTTTTTTTGTAATTAAGTAGAAGGACGAATTTTTA